TGTACTAATTTTTTTTCTTATTCTACTCTCCGTCTTATCTCCCAGACCTCCCTTTCATAAAATACCATGTGACAAATCTGTCGTCACATGATTACAATGTAGACAGTATTGTCTTCATGCTTACCACGTAAGGCACACAAATAGCCCCGTTTGGGCTCTTGATTACTGTTCTGTCCTAATAATTCTGTACTTTCAATACATTCTATAAACATTCGTAAAATCATAGGCAATACTGTATTTATAAAATAAGAGGAATTTGACATCACCACCACTTAATGCATACAACAACATTGGAGCTTTGAGGAGGTAGAGATTCCAGATGTAACCAACCAGCAGGACTTCATACTAGGTATGATAATAGTGAGGACCATGAAGAAAGTTGTAGCGTTTACAATCCTCCATTATGTACAGGAAGGTCAAGGGTAATGCTCTTCCATGAAATGAAAGGGTAATGAATAATATAATAAACACAATGAAACATGCCGGAAATAATGGAAAAGGTGGCCACAGTGGCAAGGAGAGCCAAAGCAATGATCGTGATATTTGGGGATTTTAACCCTAAGGAAATAGACTCCTCAACAATGAATCATTAATGTGGAGATAAAGCATTGATTGCAAGATTTTTGGACACAAGACACACTTTCTGCAGCAGCACATAAAGGAGCCAACAAAAGAGGGGACCTACCAGCTACTTTAGATCTGGTTTTTGCCCAAAATGAAGATGATGTAGAAAACTTAAAATATGAGGTGCTACTAGAAGTCAATGACCACTGCATTATTGTATTTGATTACATTGTAGAACTGAAAGTGTGTCAGGAACAGATTAAAGAGCATGAGATGATACTGAAGAGGAGGACTAGAGAAAGGTTAGGGCTTGTATACAGGAGGTTCACTGAGGGAATGAAGTGGAAGGAAATTCAGCAAATGAGATGATGGATCTTGTAACACAGAAATGCAAAGAAGCAGCAGGATAGTTCTTACCTCTCAGGAGTGAAGTGGACAAAAGGAAAAACAGCAGATCCATAGTTCAATAGACAGTGTAAGGAGGAAAAGGAGAAGAAAAAAAAAGCAATGAAAAGTATAGGGACACGAGTACAGAGGCAACTAGGCAGGCACTTTTTAATACTTATAGTGGTCCAACTTCTTGGTGCATTCATGACTAATCATTCTGGGCTCTCCGTGCCACTCGGAGATGCGTAAAATGTTTACAATCAATTTGTTTTCAAAGTTATTTGATGGGTTATAACTATAAATTTGTTCTGTGTTCACAAATTCTCTAGAGAATACGTGCAAAAACAAAAGTGTTTAAAATCGATTATGCATGAGTGATGAATATATGAATGTTTATGAATAGCAATTTGATGTGTTTTAACGTCATTGGAATGCAAAAGTGTTAATTAATAGGACCAGAAGTGAGTACACTAGAATTAGAGCAGACAAGCAGCAGTTTGAAAATATAACAAAAGCAAAGAGCATAGCCATATATAGAGGAAAACAATGGTACAAGACATGTGATCAGACTGCAAGGAGAGGAAGGAACGTTTTTTGGAGAATGATGCAAAAGTGTGTGAGGAATTCAACAAGAGGTTCCAGAAAGTCAGCTAACCTGAACCAGATTGGTGTCCACGGCGAGGTAACAGCAGATGGCCAGAAACAACACTTGACAGAATTGATGTTAACATGAGAGAGGTAAAAAGATTCCTGGAGTAACTGGAATTTGTAAAAGCAGTACTACCAGACCAGATATCACCATGGTTACTGAAGGAAGCTGCAGGAATCTTGTGTTACCCATTAACTATAGTGGAAATATTACACTAGTGATGGGACAGCTGCTAGAAATCTCGAAAATGGCAAATATAGTTCCAATATTCAAGAAACAAGACAGACATGAAGCACTTAACTATCGACCAGTGTCATTAATATGCATTCAATTCAAAATGCTTGAAATATTCACCAGGAAAAGAACTGTAGAAGATTTTGGGGGAGTGAATTTTATAATTGAAATGAGACAGGAGAAGGAAGGGTGAGTAGACTGCATCTTCCTAGATTGCCAGAAAACGTTTAATATACTGTAGACAAGCAGGAATAATAATGAATGCACTGGACTGGGTATGAGAATATCTGATGGATAAGAAAAAAAACGGGTCACAGTCATAGAGGCATAAGTCAGGCTGGGGAGGAGTGGAAAGGGGTGTTCCACAAGGCTCTGTCCTAGGACCATTGCTCTTTCTAATTTATGTACATGACCTCCCAGAGGCATGAAGCTCGTACATGTCGATTATTTGCAGATGATGCAAAGTTAATGAGGAGAATAAGAACTGACGAAGAAAGTAGGGTACTGTAAGAAGACAATAACAAATTTCAGAAGTGAGTAGATAAATGGTTTCTGGAATTCAATCCCAGTAAGTGTAAAATAAGGAAATTGGTTAAAGGAGATTTGAGACCTGTATTTAACTATACCATAAGGTGAAAGCTATTACAGGAAACATTAAGAGAAAAAGACCTGGGAGTAGACATAATCCCAACACTAACACCAGAATCTCATGTGAACAGGATAACATTGGCAGCATGTGGGACAAACATGAGGTCATCATTTAAGAACCTAAACAAGGAGGCTTTCAAATCCATACACACTGCCTATATGAGACCATTACTTGAGCATGAAGCTCCAGCATGGACCCCACACCTCGTGAAGCACTAAAAGAAACTTGAGAAAGTTCAGAGGTTTGGACCTAGATTAGTACCGTACCAGAATTGAGAGGGGCTTGGCTCTAAGGGCAGGTTAAGAACCAAGCCCTCACATTCTTAATTAAGAGAGAGAAGATAAAGAGGGGATATGATCACAGCATACAAGATCCTGAGGGGAGGTGACAAAATGAACAAATAAAGCCTATTGAAATTAAAAGGAGATAGGACTAGTAGACATCTGTGGAAGCTGACCAAAGGACAAGTGGACATTTGTGAAAGCTGGACACATCTTAGATGTGTAAGGAAGTTCTCGTTCCCCGTATGAGTGGTCGGCAAGTGGAATGTACTAAAGGTAGAGGTTGCTGAAGCTAATTCCATCCACAACGTTAAGAAAACAAAAAGGATTAAAACATTAATGTTGAGAGAGGTGATTAGCGCACCAAGTATAAACAGCTAGTAGGCAGGGGCTTAAAAAGACTAAATATACCACTCCATTGTAGTCACTGATAAATAAGCACCATGACTATATAGCACACCACCTTGTTCCATATACCACCATACACAACCACTTGTCCGAGCACCACTACTATGTACCAACACACACTTCAACATACTACAACTACATATCACAACATACCACCAACACACACCACATAGTACCACCAAAACATGCTAGATACCATCACCGCCTGCCTCTATTTCGTAAACTAGTCAGTGCTTGTTAAACTGAACTCCTTAAACAGTATTCCTGTGTACATATTACACCATGTTAGTTGTATCCTAAAATATGCCTGCCCAAGGAAACCTTCCCTGATTGCCCGCATGTGATTGAGACTTGTTAGTTATCATTGCGTTTAAAGTATATTTTATTTTTTAGCTACAACCCGTAGAAAGTAAAAATGTTCACCAATTACTGCAGCTTTTTTTTTTTTTTAAGCAAATTAACAGTAATGTATTTAATTATTTTTTCCTAAACATTTTAAGTAGAAAACTGGTAAACTTCTGTATTAACTTAAATAATATGAGTAAAGTCAAGTCCTGTACCAGGTTCTAAGACAGAGGTAGTTTCTTACAAACAGTATATTTTTGAATGAGTAGCACTCAAAAATATTTCCTTATTAAATTTGCCCATTCAGTGAACTTGAGTACCAAGAGGAAGAAATACAGTAGTGAAGATCTTGTGTAAATTGTGTTAGTGTACAGAATCTTGTAATTGAGGTCATTTAATTTTTATATCCCACAGTTTTACCAGTCTTCAAAATTGGTGTCTAAAAACTGAAAAAAAGTTTGTCATACATTTTTCTTACAGGTTGCATAACTAGTGGTAATTAATGTACATTAAAAGTTTTGGTAATAGATTAGTAGTTATAATAATTCGGTAGTTATTATTGAATGATTGTTTTCCCTGACTATGAATTCATGTGTAAAATACATTGATAGCTTAAGAATGAATGTATGGATTCATTAGAATGAAACAATTAGTAGTGAAATGTGATGAAAGCATTATTTAATTCAGGAAACCAGAATAATCAGGGAAAATATTCCATCTGCCACACTCATAAAGTTCAGAATAGGTAATAATTATCACATTAAAACTCTACTTAATTTAGTTAATGGTTGGGTTATTGTATGTTACTTATAACTTTGACAATACAGTACAGTATCTATACAATATATTATTTAAATTAATAAATGCAATAAAAGACAAACATAGATTGAGTGAACATCTTATCATAATCTTATTTTCTTGTTTTTAGCAACATCAACCGAGTTAAAAGATCTATTCTTTTCCTCAACTCTGACTTCACGTTTTGCCTTTCGAGCTGCCTTCTTAAGTATAATAGTTCCATAGTTAAGCTGCAGATGCAACTTAGTTTCTTGAGTTTGGAGTGTTTTATATAAACGTTTTTCCCATTCTGTTCCTCCTGCATGTTTCTACAGGGTGGCTTTCTACACATATTTGGTATTCTTCTTACTAGTCATATCCTAATCAGGTCTTTTCATATTACAGCTCAATTTCATCTTTATCCCATTGCTATTTTAACTTTTTGTTTGTTTTCATATCACTGCCATCCTCATAAGCAAGGCCAGCCTTGTAATTGCAGTAGAATACTTCATCTTAAAATATGTATTTTCTGTAACCTTCTGACACTGTATCTTTCCTTATATATCTCTGATATTTGTCGCTACCATTTTGTTACATCTAAACATTCATACACTACACACCAATCCTGGCATATCTGAGGTGATACAGTCATAGTTGGCCTAGTATTCCTGAACTGTAGGTAGTGATCATAGTATGTTGTGTGCAGGGCTACCAGCCACGACCCTGGGCCTGAGCGTAGCTGCTTCTTCTTCGGACAACCAACTGACTGTATCCACTGCGGAGAGGCTAGCCCTGGCTGACCACATGCACCGGATGCAGATGATCAACGAAGTTCATGCCCATACTCACTCCCATGCCCACACCCACCTCCACCTTCATCCTGGAGGTATGCAGACACACACATACATGCACAAGCCATACTGTAGATGGTCATTGTCTAGTCAGTCTCTTCCAAACTTGTTAATTAAATATCTTGTTGACAGTTCTTCTATCTTGTACATATTTCTTATGTGTCAGTCTTTATCTTCTGCAAACCTCTGCCATATTTACAACTGTTACCTTCATGAATGCTGATGTTCAACATAGATAGCACCATTATTAAGGCTTCACCAATCAAGACAAACTTTACAAACTGACAGCAATTTATGCTACATTGGTACTGTACCTCAGTGTTCTTGGTTTACTTTAAAGTTCTCACTTTTTAAGAAGACTTTTCTCTGGTATGAAAGTGGCCAAGCATGATGACGTTACTATGTTCAAATGAAAAGCACAGATCGGTACATAATTTAGAATGTTTACTATATAATTGGATAAAAGGAGTGTGCAGTGTAAAAACAGTGAAGCAGTTACTACAGCTTTTTAATAAATTTCTTTATAGACAAAGATAATACATTAAATTTGTTAACTCATTACTATTTTTCAGCTCGTTGCACTATAATATAAAAATCATTTACGCTATTTTCTATTAACATGTTTTTCATTATTTACATAGTTAAGATTTGAACCACTATCAGGTAATTTGCAGTAATACAATGTTATTGCTTTTTTCATTGCATGTTAATTAATTTGATCACATTAATGAAATTGCTATCAATGCTAAGAGAAGTTAGCAGTAGTACTTGATTGCATTGAAACCTTGATTGTACCATTTCAGTTAAGAGTGCAGGCAGTTAATGTCCAAGATCAGTGTCTCTTGAATGATAGGAATATGTACAGTTCTTTACTATAATTGTTAAAAATATGTGAAGGGTAAACAGTAATGCCGTCTAATATCAAATACAACACAGTTTGATAATCAGAGTTTTTAATGTTTGAAATGTGGTTCAGGTGGGCAATTAAAAAGAGCAATATTAAAATTAGGATATTTTATACAGAAATTTAAAGCCAGTAAAGAACCTTTAGAGCCTCTTTATGATGGTTCAGCTTCTTAAAGGTGTCAGCTAGCTTGAAAAGCTGGATCCAAAAGGAGGATGAAAAGGTGAAAATCCAGACAAATTTGATAGATTTCTTAGACTTTCTCCTGAGACAATATAAATTTGACAAAGGTGTTGTAGTGTGACCACAACAGAGAAAGAACAGATGTACCATAGGGCTGAGTTGAAAACCCCAAGAGGTTATCTTGAGGTTATCTTGAGATGCTTTCGGGGCTTTAGTGTCCCCGCGGCCCGGTCCTCGACCAGGCCTCCACCCCCAGGAAGCAGCCCGTGACAGCTGACTAACTCCCAGGTAGTACCTATTTACTGCTAGGTAACAGGGGCGTTCAGGGTGAAAGAAACTTTTGCCCATTTGTTTCTGCCTCGTGCGGGAATCGAACCCGCGCCACAGAATTACGAGTCCTGCGTGCTATCCACCAGGCTACGAAGCCCCCTGTAGATGTAATAATCATTCCAGTGATGCTTGAAAACCATGATTTGTAAACTTCAATGTAGTGAAACTGCAATTAGCTCAAGTTTACGTATTAAAATATTACAGGATATTTTGAAGACCAAAATAATATAAGCAGTGACAGAAGAACTAGAAGAATGAAAATCTACAACATACTATAATTATAAAGATGTGATAAAGTGAATGGATGTTGTTAAACAAGATTAACAAATGTCATAGAAATTAACATAAACATAGATATGAAAGATGAAATCAGGAAAGATTCTATATACATTCCAAAACCTCTTCACTCCATGATTAAAATAAGAAAATCCCTAATGGTATTTGGAAATAATGCATTTGTGTTCTGAATGAGGTTAACCCTTCAAAGAAAGTAGTTGATCCAGCCATATGCACAATTGATTTGATTTGATGTTGGGTTTAAGACCTATCTACTGCATATGGGCTTATGACCGTGACACTAGCTTATTTGACCAACCAACATGTATACTTCTTGTCCTGAATATAATCCAGGATTAATATATACACCAAGAAATGGGATCACTGTGTGTGTGTGTGTGTGTGTATATATTTATAATATATATGTGTGTAAATCACAAAAATGAACACGTGATGAAAAATGTGAGTGTCAGACCACAGAGGAAGAATTGAAACAGGAATTTCCTTAAGTACTTTCATATATTAATACATTTTCAGAAGGAATCGTGGTCTGGCACTGTCATATAAGGGTCATTCCATCTCAAATCATTAAAAAGTCACCTATGGCTCCCACTCGACCCTCTCCAAATGCCATGAAATTTTGTAGTAAGATAGCCCTAGACCCCAAATGACACTTTGCAAAATATTAGAGCTTGATCTGCTTTGGTTCTTAAATAACAGGTCCATATTCAATGGGCTCTCGTCCCGTTAATGCGTAAATACCACAAAAATGACCAACTTTGACCCATTAAATCACTTCTATTGCCTGTAAGAGTGTCAAATTTGACATACCAGGACAACTTTTGGTGTAGAATAATGTAGTAGTAGGCATCCATCAGTCTCAGGAGACTATGCAGTTGCTAACTAACTAACGTAGACTAACGTAGTGTAATGGAAAAAGCAGTATGGGTGGCCATTCAGCTATCCATCCATGCTAAAATCACTGCCAAATTTTGACGTGAGAAATTTGGACCCCAATTTGGAGAACACTTGCTCATCAGCAAAAAGTCATAACACCATGATCTTTTGCAACGATGTATAACAAGCATAATATTATGCAGTGATGCAATAGCAACTCTGTTGCATCCATATGTCCAGAGGTGGCCCACTTGAAAGTTGGCCAAAATAAATTTGTACAAAACTAGCCAACTTTCAAGGCAAAATATCTCAATATGCGTCATTCCTAATTTAGTTTTGAATGACATCATTGGATAGAGCAGATTTTTCTGTACAAGAGTAACTTTTATTTAGGTTGGAATCTGAATTCCTAGTTCAGCCAGAGGACTCTGAAAATGACATACCTTGGTGCGTTATCGAAAAAATTAAATTATGATTCGCCATCTTCTTTGTGCACTGATCATGACTTTTCTTTCCATTCCTTCCGGGACACATTCAACTAAATTCTTCACCCTCAAAAAACTGTACTACCCTTTCCTTCACTTCCTCTGGTCCCCAAATTGGGGTCCAAATTTCTCGCAACAAAATTTGGCAATGATTTTAGCATGGATTGGTAGCTGAATGGCCACCTAAACTACTTTTTTTATTACACTGCTGTATTCTGCACCAAAAATTGGCCCTTTTTACGATATGTACACATTAACGGCATGAGAGCCCATTGAACATGGACCTATTATTTAAGAACCAAAGCAGATTGAGCTCTAATATTTTGCACAATTTCATTTGGGGTCTAGGGCTACTTTATTACAAAATTTCATTAGATTTAGAAAGGGTCGAGAGGGAGACTTTTTTTTATATTTTTTTTTTATATTATATTATATTTATATTTATATATATATATATATATATATATATATATATATATATATATATATATATATATATATATATATATATATATATATATATATATATATATATATATATAATATATACTGTATATATATATATAATATATATATTATTTATTTATTTATTTATTTTCTTAATCAATTAATCACATAATCATCAAGAACTGCAAATGACCTCACCAGATTTGAACCTGTGTAGTTGAGGATTAACCCCAAACATACACAGTACTGTGACTACCGCACCATTGATCATGAGGGTTTCTGAGGCTTCCACTGAAGCCAAACCAGGGTTTCACAAAGCCAGAGTGCATAGGGAGATTGTGTGTAACTCTGGTTCGGCTTTAGTGGAAGTCTCGGGAACCCTCGTGGACTTGGTAGAATCCCAGGTTGCAACCCCTTTACCATGTCATGGCCTAGTTGTCTAAGGCCTTGGGAAATACCCAGAGCATAGGTTCGAATCCTCATCACTGTTATAATGGATTTTCTCATTGATACATTACGTTGGTGACATTTCTTTGTGTAATAACGTTATCGACATCCCATCACACACGTAAAAACCATGGTAAAAACATTTGAAATACAGAGGAAATATATTATGTGTGTGCAGTTACAACTTTGTGCAGAACCTTTTGGGCCAGGATGAACTCTGATAACTGGTTATGAGATTATTACACCTACCAAACCTGCTTATTAGTTTGTAATTGTGCTTGAAAATATATTTACTTATCAAGTGTGTCTACAGTGTTAATGGCAAAAATAGCATGTTTTATTGTTCTAAGCATAGGCCAAATTCCATATGTTAAAATATGGCATTTTTAAGGACATGAATATATTTGAGCATTTAAATGTTCCACACATTTTATTATATAAATTTCTTAACACTGTCTCACTCCATGCGGGCGCGCCACAGAAATGACGTCATGCGCCGTTCGGTGCGGGTGACACCAAAAAGTGTATACTTGTTCCAGTTTTCTCACCTTAATTCTTATGCTACTTCGTTCGTTTTGGTATCATTGTGTTCACAATAGAATTCCCTACAGGGGAAGTATGCATATAAGGTCCAAAAGCCCACCGTGACTTCCCTAAGCAAAGCCTAAAGTCGGCAGAGTTACCTGTGAACGCGCAAAATCAGTAAAATGTGTATACTGTACTCGTTTAAGTTTTCTCACCTTATTTCTCGTGCTACGTCATTCATTTTGGTATCATTGTGTTCACAATAGAATTCTCTACAGGGGTATATGCATATAAGGTCTAAAAGACCGGCGTGACTCCCCACAGCAAAGCCTAAAGTCGACCAAGTTATCTTTGAACGAGCACCAATTGGCACACCTGCAGGCTAATGTATATACTCGTTCCGTTTGATAACATAAATTTTCGTGCTACGTGTTTCATCTTGGTATCAAATTATTCGCAAAATAAAGGCGCGTATTTTAAAACTAGTCCCATAATAATAGAACAATAAGTGGAATTTTAACAAATATTTTAACTTTTGTAT